AAAAGTATTACCTTTATAAGTTTAAACTAACGAAACTAAACTTACTAAATATAAAGTAAACATACCAAACGTAAAATCGCGATATTCCGCATTTTTAAAGAGGTGACATCAAATGCAGGCATGTATCTTAAAATATTTTATTTTCCTATTAAAAATATACCTATATTCATCAATATATGTAATTTAATGTATTAAAAATTATTGGTTTTAAATCAAAATCGATTTTATTTTAATTCTTCTTTAGTTCATGAATCATGATTTACTAAATATTTAAAAAAATATTAAGCCATATGACATGGCGCAACAAAAAATAACATCATTAAACAGGTTTTTTAGATTAATAGGTACGTTATTTTGTTTTTTTATAGGGTCAGTGAATATTGTACTTGCAATTCCTATCTATATTGTGTATGTGGCGTGAATGAGTAATACATTAATGTTGCTATATATTATATGTACAGTAATTTTAGTAAAAAATTTTATTTTTATTTAGTTTTACCAATTAAGGTTTTATTTAAAAACAATATTTTTACTATTTTTTATAAGTGTAATAAAAAAGTTTTACGCTTTTGTTTATTAAATTAAAAATATTTAGGTTGTCATTAAAAACAAATAAAATAGGTAAAACCATAATGAGAAATTTTATTTTTTTTTATTTTTGTAAAATTAATTAAAAATACTATCTATTAAAATTAAAACATTTAAAAGTACAAAAATTGACTTAGAAAGTTAGTGAATTTAGGTATAAAACGAACAATTTATAAGTACCTAACTACTAACTTCCTTTTTACGCCACTTACGCTGAGTCACGTATCTTACAATATTATATTTACACCATTATACGAGTATTTACTTATTTTATAAGTGTGTCAAATTATTGTTCATTTATAAATATATATTGTTTCACATATGATTAACATGATGTATTTATTACATATTGTATAGGTATGAACATACCTGTTTGTATTATAAAATATAAAATATAGGTATATGCTCATATAAATTAAGTGATATTTTTAGGAATCAGATGGACTTGTAGGTAGCAGACGTCTGAATAAAGTTTCTCTGAAATGTCATGAATATAAATATCTACACATTGTATATATATATATATATATAGAATATACTATATATACATATATTATATGTATATAGTACGATTGCATTATAATACATTTATTTCAATTCATCATTGTTGCAGTATACAGTGTAGTATGACTAATGAATACTGCTGAGTGTAATTGTTTTGAAATTAAAAAAGTTATCACCACTTAAAAAAAAATACACAGTAACTAATTAGGTATATTGGCATATAGCTATATAATGTAATATAACAAGCCTTGGTGATTGTTATTATTGGTGTCTTTGATCATCACGACCCAATAATATATTATACATGGTTTATGTGTTACGAATAAACGATTAAACTGAATAACGTTCCAACAATCCTACTAATAATATTGCATTATATAATTTCCTTTCATGCTAAATTATTTTCAGATATAATACATTTATAATTATAAAACAATAGACATTTATCAAGTATTAACTAAGTAATAATATATATATGTAAAGCATACACACCGTATTCTACAAAACGTGTTATTTCTTCGAAATGTTTAAAGAACCATACAGGTCGTCCGAGATAATTTCAGTTCTAATGAAATTTTCAAAAAACTTTTTCCACGAAAGTGCGATTTCAAACAATATCCATTAGAATATTTCCTGCGATTGTTTAATGCATTAAGCCAGCAAATGGCGAGGGTTGAAAATGTGGCCTATAGGTATACACTTCTAAATTGACGTATCAAAAATAACCTCTTGTAAAACAATGTTAGATACCTCGAAGTTTGATATTATTAAAACTAACGAAACTAAACGTGAGGTGCACTTATTTGACTTACTTAACGTAAACTTGCGATGTTACACGCTTTCAATTCAAGGACGTCAAATATAGGCGTAGACGCGTAGCTTTTTAAATACCTATCTTTTTACTATAAGATATAATATTAATCGTATTCAAATATAAAATATTAACATTAATAAAATGTATGTGGGTGTTCTACATCGTATTGGTCCAGTGTCCTACTACCTATAGTTTTTTAAACATCTGATATAGACACTTTACATAGTTTATTCATTGTTATTAACAATTATTATTTATTAAAATGTGTTTAATAATTTTCATCACGTGTAGGAATGATATGAAAATAATGTCTACGCACGAATTTTTGTAGTTTTGTTACAGTGGCGCTAATCCTTACAGTTTACGTATGACTATTGAGGTCACAACATATTTTACTGTAGTGGGGTGATTGCATGTACCTCACATCCTCATATATTCAACCTCAAATGAGCTCTAAGTTCAATTAATTAAAAAAATGATTGGTGAATAGTTGGCAAAATGGCTTTATTTGTTTTCAAACTTTCCATAGTTCGATACCTAATTCATTATTGTCAATTTGTCAATTAGTAAAAACTTAAGTCTTCCCCACTAGTTATAACTAATTATAAATTATTGTAATTTTATTTAGATAGGTATCTAAACAAATCTGATTTACCGTGTATTGACTCTGTACATTACTCCATGACATGAAACTAGTACCTTTTTATCTATACAAAAATGTTTCCTAAAAATAAATCTTGAGGCCAAGTTTCTGTAAAATTATCTACGGACCAAATTAACTACCTAAACATAGATCAAATTCAAATATATTATTTATAGTATACTTATCATCTAATAGTCTATATTAGGTAAATAAAATATAATTAATATTGGTGCGTAATATTGATGTATCATAGATTATAAATGCCTAAATGTATATACTTGTAATTAATATTTAATACATTGATAGAAGTACAGCCTTACAGCTATAACATAATCAATTTAAATGGCTACACTTATTTACTATTAACATTGTTATGTTTAGGACAATACTGGTTTTTTTTAATAATCTACTTTAATAATATTATTTGTACAAAAAATTTAATTCTTAACTATCTTCTTTTTATCATATTGAAATGTTAGGATTTTAATTATTTTTGTTAAACGAAAAAATATATTTAATTTAACATTTAAAATGTGAGATTAGAAACAGAATAATTTTATAAGAATGTTGATAGATGTAAACATCTATACCTACCTATACATACATCGAATACCTACTGATTAAATAGTTTTTATTGATAAATATTAAATTTCAATAAGAGGAGGAAATGACAAAGGGTAATTTACATTAGTTATACCTATAGATCTAACTTTTTTTCCCAAAAAAACAAATAAATTAATGTAATCTAATAATCAATAAGTATACTAAAGTCAATATAGCCAGCAACTACGAGTTAAATGTTTGGATTGCCACGTATAATACAATATGACTTTAATTAATCTACAAGCTATCGACCTATATTGAATGTTAATAATAAAATATTATTGTGAAATAATATTAATAAAATTATTTTTATAAAAATAAAATAAAAAAATATCTAAATATCAAAATAATGTAGATATCACCTAAACCAGTGATTCTCAACTTTTTTTGTATGACGACACCCTAATTTAGATCTATAAAAATGGCAACAAACTGGAAGGATACCGGCTACTAACCCCAGTGACCCATAGATACAATAAAAAAAAACCTTTTTTTTTTTTGTTTATTAATTCTTTAAATAATTTTGTGTTATTTAATATTAGTACTTCTCGTGACACACTCGTTACTCGAAAATTATTAGAATATGTTATATTGTGTATTGTAATTTTTATTTTTTTTATATTGTTCTTTGGTTTAATTCAAGAGTGGGTGCCATACAGTGAGTGGAAGCAAGAAGGTCGAGGGATGTACTTCCACATATTTTTTTTTGCATCCTATTAATGCAGATGCGGATTTTTTTCTTTGATCAGCTAAAAAATTTACAACCACGTAGTATAGGTACTATGGACTGTAGTGTAATACTGGTGCATAAAACTAAAAATTAAATTTATATATTATTAAAATCGAAATGCTTATATAGTAGGTATGAAGGTATAGAAATGTATAAATATAATTAGTATCTATTAATATATACATAGGCGCAAATAGTGTTTGAAGTTTGGGGGAGCTGAAGTCAAAATCCATTCCAAACACCTTAAAAAATTATAATACATAACAATATTGACTAACAGACGATAGTCATTAAAATTTGGGGGGCTCAGCCCCCTAGCCTCCCCATTATTTGCGCTTATGAATATATAATATAAAATGCATCACGTGAACTATTTCTGATATCGAATTTAAAAAAAAAATGAAGCCTATGCTATGCCTACAGTCAAATATATGCGCTATAGATACATAGATAGGTACTTAAAATATGTGTACAAAATTATTACAACAAAGAAAAAGTGGTCAGACAATAAAAAAAAAAATTAGCCTGTTTAAATGTTGGCACCCACCACACCCTTATTAAAAAACTCAAATGGAGCCTCTGATCCTCTGATCTAAGGTATATTCATAGAATAAAATGTGCAATAATCATTCACTTAAATTTTTATTCTTAATTTATTCTATGTTTATGTGACTCTGTACTATGACCACTAAAGGTCTGACGTTTATCCAGCACGATGAAATAGTATTATTTCTTCAATCGCGCTGTTCACGAGTATTTAGCCACACACGTGCTGACCACGTGGTTTTTATTATCACGATATGCAAATTATCATGATAAATAAAAAAATGTCAATTAAGTAATCGATTGTACAATCAGTAGGTACCTACTTGTAAATTGTAATAGTATTGTCAAATGTCAACGGCCAGGGCATTATGGCAAGTACAGATATTGTCGGCAGACAGCAAGACATAGTAACCGCGAACATTGATAAACGTTTGTCCACAATCGCTATTCGCATCGGAAATTTTACCAATAAATTACTGTATTGTAATTATTATATAATTACATATTTATATAATGTGAGATAATTCGATCTGAACTTCTAATTTTTTTCATTATTTAAAATCATTTAATTGTTTAATGGTAATTTATTTGTTTTGTCATCGATTACCTATCGACTAGGTATTTAAAATTCAAATAACTACAAATATCGCAATCGACATATAATTGGGTGATCCATTATATGTATTATGTGAAATATCAAATAATGGCAATGACTATCAAAGCAAAGTTCTGTTAAATTGAATAGTAAATTGTGCCCATAATATTTGTTAAGTGTTATGAGTTTAAACTACAGATCTGAAGCTATTTTTCTAACATGTATTTTGAATTGAATCATGAACCTGTAGTTCTTACCTTACTAATAATATCAGTTAAATGAACTGACTCAATAATAAAAAGTAAGCACTAATGGATTTGACTAACAGTGAAAATAATTATAAGGTACCTAAATATAATATTTTTTTGATGTTGGAGTAAGACTTAGCATATATTTTACATTTTTACATATTTTATAATATATACTTAGTTAGGTATCTACTTTTAATTAAATATGTGATATTCTCTATTTTTAGAATTCATATATAAATGGGTTATGCTATATTGGAAATTTGTAATGACCTATTAAACTCAATTGACATAATTAAGTATTAGGTACTAATTTAAAAATATTTACCTGTAGTTACTATAATAAATAAATGATTTTATTAATTATTCAGTGTTTTCAGGTATCTATTTGTAACAATTGCACATTTGCACTATACTAGTAATAGTGATGGCATTTGGTATCGTTGATTATATTGTGTTTGCAATAATGTTGGTAATGTCAGCTTCAATAGGCATTTACTACAGATTTACTGGTGGTAAACAGAAAACAACACAAGTAAATTTTAATTTATTGATATTAGTTTAAATTATTATTTCTTAAATTCAATTTTTAAAGGAATACATGCTCGGTAATAAAAATCAAGGCATTGTACCAGTTGCATTTTCGTTGATGGCCAGTTTTATGTCTGCTATAACATTATTTGGCGTGAGTGCAGAGAACTATTACCATGGTACACAATTTGTTGCTATTAATTTATCTTATGTCTTGGGAACTCCAATAATTGCATACATATTTTTACCCGTATTCTTCAAACTTGGAAATTTATCTGTTTATGAAGTAAGATGTATTGTTATTAAAAGTAGAATAGATCTTTCTCACTTTTATTTACTTACAATTTATTGTTCATGTACTGGTTAGATATTATAGAATGCAATACTTTTAATACTAATTATAATATGTATTTTATATTTACAGTACTTAGAAAAAAGATTTGGTCGATTGACTAGAACTTTTACATCTATGGCATTCAGCATGCAAATGATACTTTATATGTCAATAGTTTTATATGCACCGTCATTGGCTTTAGGTGCTATAACTGGATTATCCTTAACCTCTTCTATTATACTAGTGGGTTTAGTATGTGTATTCTATTCAACAATTGGAGGAATTAAAGCAGTTATTATTACAGACGTATTTCAAGTAATTATCCACTAATTATTTTAATATCAAACTTTATTTATTTCAATTGAAATTTTAGTCATTACTTATGTTTGCTTCAATATTTGCTGTAATTGGAGTTGCTATGTATGAAACTGGTGGAATATCAGAAATTTGGAAGATTGCTGATAAATATGGACGAATTGAATTTAATAAGTACTTTAAATTTTAAATTTAGATAGAAATTAGAACATTAAATGATATTTTTAACATCAATAAAAATTATATTTTACATTGATAACAAGGATGAACTTGTTACAACCCTTAAATACATTTTTTTTAACTATAAAAATATTTTAGTTTTAATATAGATCCCACCCAAAGACATAGTTGGTTTAGTCTGGTGATTGGTGGTATGTTTACCTATGTTTCGTTGTATGCAATTAATCAAACACAAGTACAAAGGTATTTAACTATGAAAGACTACAATACAGCTGTGAAATCTTTATGGTGTAGCTTACCTCTTTTGTCATTACTATCTATTTCAACAAGTTTTTCTGGGTTGGCAATGTTTTCAAAATACCATGACTGCGATCCTATCAAGTATTTATTGCTGTTTTATTAGCTTAAAACAAAATTGTAACACAAACATTTTCAAAGGTCTGGTCGTATATCACGTGGAGATCAGTTGATGCCTTTGTACGTATCAGATACTATGGGATCAGTTCCAGGATTGACTGGATTATTCGTTGCTGGTATATTTTCAGCTGCATTAAGTTCTGTTTCACCAGTGCTTAATTCTTTAGCTGCAGTTACAATGGAAGATTATCTTAAGGTATCTTTTAATTACTAATTTCATCAATTTTTGTGCATACCAAAACAATAATACATTTTTTCTTTCATATTTAGCCTTTTATGAAACAAGAGATTTCAGATAAAAAACGAGTATTTTATATGAAAATGTTAGTCCTTGCTTATGGTGCAATTTGTTTAATATTAGCTTTTTTGAGTCAATATTTGGGCTCAATACTTCAAACTTCATTGGTTATATTTGGAGTGATTGGTGGACCAGTATTAGCAGTATTTACATTGGGAATACTATTACCTCATGTCAACCAAAAAGTATTTTACTTCCGCTATTTAATATAATAACTTTTCAGTTAACACTATTTAATTATTTTAGGGTTCATTAACTGGACTTATAATAGGCCTAGTATTTTCATTTTCTATTGGGTTTGGTAGACCTGCAGACAAAAATTTGTCAACATACATAAATGGATGCCCAGGGCTAAATGAAACTCTTCAATTATCTTCCTCGTTACATGATGAGTAATTACAGCCTAACTTTATTATGTTTTCAAACTTGGTGATTTTTTTTTTTTTATTGCAAAGTACTTATTATTTAAAATCATTAACATTTTTTAATTATTTTAAGTTATTTTAAACAACGTTTTTGTTTTATAAATATCAAATTTAGGATTAGTAGTTAATAACTTATAAATATTTAAAATTTAGGTGAGCAAAATAGTGAAATAACATCATGTTGTTTAAGGGCCATTAAAAAAAATGTCGAAGTAATAAATGTTTTTACATCATACATCAGTGCATAATAAATTATTTTGCATTAATTAGCATACATTTTAAATTCTAATTTTAATTAATAAATACAATATAAAGTAACATTATTTATATCTAACTCATTACTTTGTAGTTAATAAATAAAAATAAATAAAATATTGCTGTTTTATACAATGATAATCAAATTTTTGTATATGATTGAAATTTAAATATTTAATCAATTATTAAAAAAACTAAAACATTACCTATTATTTGTTTTGATTTACTGAATTTGATTTTTTCAAGGTTACCAAAAGACAATTATTATTATTGGTACCGCATCAGTTATTTGTACTGTATAGTTCTTGGGTTTATGGTAACATTCTTAGTTGCACTTGTGGTCAGTTCAATTTTCAAAGAAGCACATTGCGATAATCCAGATTTGTTTACACCATTTGTAGCCGGACGATTAAGAAAGCGTGGATTATTATTGAAAAAAAATTTTATCAAAATGGTTTGTTTTTTATTGTTACCAATTTATTTTTTATTAATTGTGTAATATTATTATTATTTTGCAGGATATAAATTATCCAGATGAGTTAAATCATATTTTAAGTTGAGATGGATTTGTTACTTTATTTTTTTTCATTATACATTGTTGAAGATCTTTTTACATTTATATCACTGGTATATGTGTTTTATATAACCAATAATAATGATTAACTTTTTTTGATGTTTATTATACAATTGTTGTTTTTAAAGACATCTATTATAGATCAAAAATCAGAGCTGTATAAATTCAGACAGGTTATTGTCTAAAATAGACTGACATAATAAGTTAGTTATGTGTTTCTATTCTATTTTATATGAGAGTAACCTCAGGCAAGAGTAATGGATGTAGCTAACAAAATACTACTAAAAGCATTAATTTATTATTTCAACAACTGCCTTGGTTGTATTTTGGCAAGATTTACACTGTAAAATAATTTTTTAGACTGTGATTGATCATTCAAAATAATAGTAGTTGACAAGAACCGATTTAATTGAAGGAAGTAGTTTGAACATATCACCTAAAGTTATACTTGTATAAGACATGTGATCATCTTAACATTGAAATATATGAAATGATAATTATGAAATAACCAAAAAACAATCAGAATGTAGACTTGATAAAAGAAATCTTATCAAAAAGGTTCACTTTACTATAGTCATAAATGGATTGTCTGAGACAAACATAATTTATTATGCAAATTCTATAATTTATTTGCTAAGTAATTAATAGCTGTTATAATTTATACTAGATATAATACAATTGATAAAAGTATTTAATCATTTTAATCTATATATGTTATGTAAAAATATAAACACTGTATAAAATTTAATAACTAAAATGAAAAAAAATTATTGAACAATTTTGTGCTAAATGTATTAAAATTAAATAATGATTAATAATAAATTATAAGCATATTAAATGTTTTTTTTTTAGTTTTATGATAAAAGTAAAATTATAATAGACATAGTAACTATACTAATTAATAAAAAAATAGGTAAAAGCGTATTATACAAAATTTAATATTAACTAATATTAGCCAAATATTTCTTTTAAATTAACATAGTAAAAATCATGATGTTTGAGCACTTTTTGAACTTTAGCTTTTAATCTACTATAAGCTATATATAATGGATCCTCATTAGCTAATTTTATTTCCTTGTTTCTGTACAATACTTTGTCAATGTCAAATAAAAACAAGTAATACCTTAATTGAAACAATAGCTGGCTGGCTGAATACTAAAATATAAAATATATGTCAAATTAGTTTATTGTTCATTTATTAAGTAAATAATTATATTTTTTTTATTAACGAGGAAAATATAAAATAATAAATAAAAATTCCAGTTTATTTCACTATGATTTATAAATTCCAAATTATACCAAAGTACAGTCTTTTATATATTTTAGTAGTAATTAAAAATTTAAAAACGTATAATTACTTCATATGATAAGTGATAAAAATGTTTAGCTTTTCATTATATTTAGAATTACAATCCAACTTAAGTTCAATTAAATGTTTGTTTTTTTCATTTATTATATCAAATTTTAAGTTACCAAGACTGTATTATACTTAATTGGTTTAATGTATATTTATTTATTAAGATACTTACTTCCTTTCTTAACGTTCCAGATTCACATTGTACACACACTTCATCACTTGTATGTGGCAAATATTTGCTTTTATAATCACAAGTACTTTCATCACATACATAATAACTCTAAATCATTAATTCAAACAAATTACATATAAGTGATTGAGAATGCATAGATATATATAGCAAAACTTCTGAACAGTATTTTAGATCATCAAAATTTTATTCACTAATCAGAGGGAGTGAATATTTGAAATTTATAAAGGGTTAATGTCTAAAATCACTTAATAAAAAAACAAAAGAACCATAGTCAAGACATTTATATTATAATCAATATGGTTTTGTTAATGCATGGTTATAAATTATTAACTAATAATATTATATTTATAATTGTTTATATTTAATGAACATGACGTGTCGATAACGAGTTTGTTATTACTACATCTAGGGAGTGTTTTATCATTATTTTTAAATTAGGTTATTCAAAGGTTTTTAAATTAAGAAAAAGTGGAAATGTTCTTATTACTTTACAGAAATGTCTGTTAGGTTAGGTTTGGGAAGTTTTACTGTATATAAATAATAAAATAAAATACAGAAAAAATAATCACCTTATAAAACTTCATTGTATGCTTCCTTATAGTTATCCATAAAGTATTTTCTAACATCCCAATATATTTAAATGGTGAAATATAACATCCTAAATTAGAACAACTTTCCAAGGAAAATTCTAATTTACCATTAGGCTAAAATATTAAATTAAATTAGTTCAAATTATATTTTTGTAAGAGATAAATAATACCTTTTTAATTGCTGGAGCCAATATTTCTAGTTCAGTTTTACAACCAAGACATTTGAATTTAAATCTAAATTTATGATTTAAAAATTTAAAATATTAATTAATTCAACATTTAATAATATTGATGTACATATTAAGAAATTAATACTCACGGATCACAACTACTAAATCTTGTTGCATCATCCAAATCAACTACATTTTCTTCAAGTGAATTTTCATAAATAGTCTTTATTCTTTGATTTTGGTATTGTGAAGGATCAAGGCCTATTAAAAAAAAACAAAATTACTTTTTGCAAAATCACAAGATAGTAACAACCAAACCTAAATACTCGGCAATCATTTTAGCATCAATATCTTCTAATGGTGCACATAGTCTCATTATTACTGGATGTATTTGTTGTGATAAATAATACTTAAAATCGATTTTTAAATTAGTATTGTTTTTTAGCTCATCTACATGATAAACTCTTTGAGTAGATGCAAGATTTGTTCCATCCTATTGATAATAACAGATATTTTTTTTAACTACAGTTTCTCAATCTATTTATTTATCAAAAAATAAAATATAAAAGTAAACTTACTTCACAAACAACATATGATACAGTATCTCCTTGTCTAAATTTAATACTTTGTTTGTTAAGGCGTTGAGCAATGGCTACATGTGGTAATGCTTTAGAATCTGAATAATCCTGAGGAGCTTTAGTTAATGTTTTACTAATGGCCAAAAGTCCAAGGGGAACTTTATTTCCCTCACAGTCAGCTCTAAGTTTTTCCAATTGAGCACAAATATTTGAAACCCTTTCTTCGGGAGACTGATCACATAGTATTTGTCTCAAGACAAATCTATATAATTAAATTATGTTTAATCAACAACTATAATATAAATAAAACATATGTACGAATATAAAGTGTATTTTACCGTCCAGCTTCTTGTGATAGTTGAGACCAATCTCTTCTTACAATATCCAACCCTTTGATCTCTTCTTTAGTTATAAATTCACCTGAAGGCAATTTTGATATAGATATAGCAGCATATTTTTTCTTTTTTAATAACAACATGTATTTGAAAATCCCATCAATATCTAATTCCACTTGTTTATACATTTTATTGACTTCAGCTTTAATCTATTATCAAATAATAAATATTTAATAATAAGGAAAAAATATATTATAAAACACATACTTTGTAACCAATTTTCATGACTTGATCATAGTCAACACAGTTTGAATTGATCATTAATGAATCCGTATCTCCGTAAATAACATCAAATGACAATTTTTCAACTAATGCTTTAGTACTAATTAATATTTCTCTACCTTTAGCAGTAATTAATGCGGCCAATGGCTTAGCATAAAAACGGGAATGAGTAAATCCCAAACATCCATACATACTATTAGCAGTAAGTTTTAGTGCAGTTTGTCTCAAATTATACTATAACAAAATTAAAAATACAAAATATTATTTAAAATATAATCCTAATATTCATATTTCATTGTATAATTAAAATCTTGTTTTTATATTGGGGTCTTTAACTGAATATTTTTAAATATAATCTTTACAAACTAAACACATTTTACTCGATAAATTTTCTAATTAAATGTATTCTGTACATTATTGATAGTATTGATACACTTTTCAGGCTGTATGTAAACTGCGGCAAAATTTACCTTTTTCAAAAAGTCGATATGTAAACTGCGACAAAAAAAAAATTAAGATTATATAATCTGCCACAAAACCGAAAGATATATCATACAAACTGCGGCAATTTAATTAGATACCTATTGTATTATTATTTATTTATTTATTTATTTTTTTTAATTAAACAATTTTTTTAAATAATTTTTAATATAATAATAATATTTTTTAATTTTAAAATTGGTTTTTTGATTATACAATCATTATGATCTAATTTTTAATAATAATATATTTTTCAATTTTAAAAATTGGGTTTTCTTTATTTTTACGCCTAGTACTTTAAGAGATACTAATAGCTGCCATAACACGTAATACGTATTATACCTAATTAAACAATAAACGTGTATAAGTATATAAAATAAATTGCCGCAGTTTGTATGATGTATCTTATCGGTTTTGTCGCAGATTGTATAATCTTAATTATTTTTTTGCCGCAGTTCACATATCGACTTTTAGAAAAAGGTAAATTTTGCCGCAGTTTACCATCTCCCACTTTTCATAGGTACTTAAGTACCTAATAAAATATATCTAACGATAGACTATTAGTTAATGATCATATATATTAGAATTAAAATTGAATTACTTAAAAGGAAAAAAATATTAAATTACCTGCTCTTTAAGTGTAGCAGATATTTTTGGATCATTCATTAATTTCTTTACTTCTCTTCGTGAATCTACCAACGACTTAATTTCAGCAGGTAAAATTCCACGAGCAACGGATTGATTTGGAGTTAACTTTAATAATTCAGCTATTTCATCATCGCCCTAATTCAATAAATAAATTATTAATTAATTAAATCTAATATTTAATAATATAATTAATGTAAACCTCTTGAGAAACCAATGTTCGAAAGCTAACTGTAGTAAAGCAAATATTGTATTCTTGAATTATACTTGGATAAAGAGAATTGAAATCCATTAATAAGATCATTTTGTCATAAAAACCAACTTTAGGATCAAGTACAAGACCTCCTAAATATTGAGCTTTTTTACGGCCATTTTTTTTATTATCATCTTCTTCTACATTATCTTCATTCTA